GCTTATCTGCCCACTAACTGCAAAGTGCATTTGTCCACTGTGAACCATGCTACCAAGGCACTTCTTTTCTTACTACCACTATATTTGTCCACTGACCTCCACGCTACCAGTGCACCCTTACCCACACAGTTACACTGCTGATGCACCTGTCCATTGACAGCCATGCTGTGGTGCACTTGTTCACTGACTGCCCTTGGTAAGGGATATTTGGGGGTGTTGGGTCCCCCCTAAAATTCCTACCAGATCTAAAGGGTATGGTTTGAATTGGTAAAGGGGACTCCACGCTGTTTTATTTTTATAACGTTAGAATTTAACAAGTTCATTTTGAATGACATTCGGGGAAAAAATGTGGATGCATCCAAATTTCGTTATTGGAAAATTCAGATACGTTGTGATTCATTATTTCTTTCTTTTGGATATTCTGATGCATCCTAATGTCTGAATATGCCGATATTTGTCCAAATTTCAATTCAGAACTAAACAAATAGCACATGTCTACCATGCAACCATTGCATGTAGACAAGTAGAATGCAGGAGATCATCTTCACCGATATTGCAACACAGGATGAAAAAAGTTAAAACAAGTATGTTATTAAAAAGAAAATGTCAGGCTGGGTTCACACCTGGGCGTTTTTCAGTGCTGATCGAAGCACTAAAAAACGCTCAAGAAGTGAAATCCTATGAATCCCTATGGGCATCTCTCTGGGCTCAAAAACTTTAGGTAATGTATGTTCCTTAAAAATCAGAAAGGATATAAATCCACTTTTTGTGCACTTAATGTCTTTGCAAGCCCAGGTATTACATTGTAAAAGTAGTTGTGACATTATCACTGTGCTTTACATACCCTGTGCAGAGATGTGGAAGGGGACCAGCAGGCTTCGCCCACTATAGGCTGCCTGTTGAAAATTACAGGAGCGGCAGGGACAAGACCAGTCACCCTGCACAAGGAGAGAGCAGCATTGACTGGTCTTTATTACAGGAAGCTTCTACACATAGGAAAAGTCTCACACTTTATTACTGCACAGACTTGGAAGAACTACACAAAGCACACAGAGAATGAAGTAAGAATACACATCTTGCAGTTCAACTTTAACATACAATATGCAGGCATTGTAGGGCTGCAACAACTAATCGACATAATCGATTATTGAAAAAATTGTCAACTTTTTCAATCGATTAATCGGCTTCCGATCAGTTGGTCCTGTTCACGGCTCCACACACGCTATGCGCCGCACCTCCTCCCCACCTCACACTCGCCGCTGCCAGACCCGCCTGCATGGACGCTCTTTACGCCGCACCTCCTCCCCGCCTCACATTCACCGCATATATTGCACACCACACTATTTTTTTTCTTTTTTACTTCCACCGCTCCAAGCTTGCTCCTGTGATGGAGTGTAATCTCAATACAAACTAGTAGTCCATCACTGGAGCCGTTTTTTAAATTTTATTTTATTATTTAGCCGATTAATCGAACTTAATAATCGGCTAACTAATCGATTTTGAAAATAATCGTTAGCTGCAGCTCTAAGGCATTGTACACTATTGTCACCATGAGGAATCCCATGTAGAATGCAGGAGTTCAGCAGCACCGAGGTGCAACAAAGGATGAAGAAAAGGTGAAAACAAGGATTTTATTTCAAAAAAGGCCAACAGTTGATCATACACAGGGGGGAATCCATCAAAATAGGAACAGACAGACAACCAATCAGCTTTACTCTTTCATTTTCAAAGCTTAACTGAAGAGAGAAGCTGATGCCAAAGAAGACCTGGTTGCCAAAAGAAGACTTCTGCAGTTTGCATGTGCTTTAAGGGTTAGTTCACACCAGAAACTGCATCACAACTGCGTGCGTCTGCGCAGTTGTATTGCGATCCGTTTTGACGCGTTTGTTATGTCCCTGGATGATGCCACAATCAACTCTGTTGGTTTTTTTTTGCAGGCGTTCTGTTGCGTTTAAATTTGTTTACTAGTGCAGTTAGATGCAAGTAAAATAGGACAAGCAGTATTGTTTCTGACTGCATCTGAACGGACTGCAATGGTGTGAATAGAGCACGAGAAAGCCCATAGGAAAGCATTGTAATGTATTTTGGCTGCAGCAGTCACACTGAACGGACTGCATCACAACTGCATCTGGTGTGAACTAACCCTAATGCCTTGTTCACACCAAGCGCAGAGCAGAGCAGTTGCAGACCGGATCAAAACTGCGTCCAATGTATTCCAATGGTATTTTTTGCTCCAGTTCATATCGCAGCGTGCAGGTCCAGGGCAGGTGAAAAAACTGCAGCAGGCCCTATTTTACCTGCTCTGGACCTGCAAACGCATCAAAAATGCATGCAAATGCATGGAACGCACTGAAAGCCCATTTTAACCAGTTGACATTCGCGGTGTTAAACCCCCTTCCCATCCAGGCCATTTTTCAGTATTCAGCGCTGCGGTACTTTGACTGACATTTATTCCGTCATGCAGCGCTGTACTGAAATGAATTTTATACCCTTTTTTGGGGACAGATAGAGCTTTCTTTTGGTGGTATTTATTCACCACTGGGGGTTTTATTTTTTTACTATATTAAGGAAAAATTACCGAAATTTAAAAAAAAAAAACAGTTTCCCCTATATTAAATGATAAAACATTTATTATTACCCAATTTTTTGGTAAAATATAAAAGATGGGGTCACGTCGGGTAAAAAGACACTAAACATGTCAAGCCTTAAAATTGCGTGCGCGCGCGAAACCTCAAAAAACGATAATACCCAAAATTGGCCATAGGCGACGCTTTAAAAGCTGTTACCGCTCATCAGTTTAGTGTTATCAGTGATTGATGGCCCTAAAATGATTGCTCTCACTGCGACGTTCGCGGCGATATGTAACATGTGTAGCGCAATTGTAATTTTTGCGCGCTGGGGCACCGGACGCGTATTTACGTTTATAGGCGCGTAAACGTGGGGGTGGGGGAGTTAAACATTTTGGGGGGGTTTTTTCCCCTTTTTTTATATGTGGCTTTTATTTTATTTTATTTTTTTATGTGTTACTTTATTTTTTTTTTATTTATATATATTTTTTTGCACTTATTGTTATTGCTATTATATAGGGGGATAACAATCCCCCTATATAATAGCAAAGGCACACTGACAGGTCCTCTTTATGGAAACATTAGGGGTTCCTAGGACCCCTAATGTCACCTGTGGACCCCAAAAGAAGCTGATGAAGCAGAGATCTGCTTCATCAGCTTCTTCTCTCTGGCTATAGCAGCCAGATGACTGACAGGTGAATGCGGAAGTGATGTAATAGACATCACTTTTGCATTCACAGCCCGGAGGGAGGTCAGCAAGGAGCTGATCTCCCTTCCTCTTCCTCCTGACGCCCTTCCGTCCCTGATCCCGGGCCACAGATGAGGCAGCGGATCCCGGGATTGAAGGTGAGGGGTCGGGGGGCGAAAAAACGAGCACATATAGACGATCGGCGGGCTATGGAGCCGCTGATCGTCTATATGTGAAACACCCGGTAACGGGTGTTTGCATTGGTCGGGTCTTTACTGCCCGTGCGTGCCCGCTAGGGGGCGCACGCGAGCGGAAAAAATGCCGTCTGGAGACGGCAACCCACCAATGCTGCAGTGCCGTCCGTCCGTTTTTTTACAACAGGCGGACGGCAAGTGGTTAAACTTTGGAAAAAAAATATTATTTTTTTTTACCAAAAACGCATCAAAAAGACTAGCGTGCGTGTGCAGAAACCTGACCGGATCTGCTCTGCATTTGGTTTGAACAAGGCCTTAGTGTTTCAAATCATATGTATATTCAAGGTGTAACAAGATACCTGATCACAACCCCCCATCCTGCCCCTCCCTATTACCTGATTGGGGTTCTTCTCCCTGAAGGCTCCCGTTATTACTTGAATCCAGTGCAGCTCTGCCTGTCATTCGTTTACAAAACCTTTGACAGGATCTGTGAATTGAGAGTCTACAAGTCCCCTCAGCCACTGCGGCAGAGGGACTCTCAGTTGCAAATGAGGTGACGTCACTGTGCTTGTACTCCATTCATACTTCCAACTGAATGTCCGTACCTTGGTATGGACATTGACAGGAGGAACAGTCTGCAGGAGCCTGAGCATTACACTTGCCAGTTGCCATCCATTAATCGCTGTTGCAATGCTGTGCAAAAAAATAATAAATGCACATTTTTTTTATTTTAATCTTTAATAATAATAAATTATGTTTCTATAATAATAATAATAAATGTGTGTGCATTTTTTATTATTATTATTTTAGTTTTTGCAAAAGCTGGAATGTATCTTTTACATCTAAGGGTGGTGTTAGCAAAGGCTATTGATTTATCGAAAATAAATATATAATATATAAATAAAATTGTGTGTGTGTGTATACTGTATATACAGTATGTCTAATGAAGTCTCTATACTACTATGGTATCACAATGTGCTGTCTGTGTCCATGACTTTTCCTAGCATACACACATCTGCTCTAGACCAGTATACAGCCTGTCACTCATGTCTGCCGGTCAGCGCTGACCCTCTGTTACAGTTACTTGAAGGCTCTCACATCAAGTGACTGCTGTCCCCCTTCTCTCTCCTGACAGTGATTGGCTGCCGGACATTCCTTCCCTGGTGTCCCCGCCCCTCCATTCAAACGTGCTGAGAATATAGAAAGCTGACAGCTCCCTTTTAGCAGGCAGACTGCGTTGGTTCGTACCCAGGACTTGCTGTAGTCCTCTCTTCAGTGCAAGATACCCACATGATGCCAGGCTTGCTTGTCTGCTCAGATTTCCTATAAAGATCTGATTGCCATCTGCATACAGAACGGACAGCAAGCAGCAGCCTCCTCTCCTCCCTGCTAGAACCTGCCCTGCTGCACTGGATTCTTCCAATCAGAAGGAAAGAGATTCATTGCACCAGCTACCCCCTCCTCCCTTATTCTCCAGCAAGAGAGAAGACTAGGGGGCTCTGAGCCCCCCCATCCTCCCATGTACATCACCCCTTGTGCAGCTGTCTTGTCTCCCCTTTACTGCTACAACCACATCCTGCACCACTGCTCTGCTCATACGATCTAGAGAGATAAGGCAATAAGAGAGGTAGCAGAGAGCACCCCTTCCCATCTGCATGTTCTACAGGGGTTCAGGCTTGCCAAAGGGTGGCTGATGTCTCTGCAAATCCCTGCTCCTCGATGGATGGCTAGGTTTTTATGGATGACTTGCAGCATTTGTTCTTTCCCTTGCGTTTGTGCTATTTATTAATGTACCAAGCCGGTTTGGAGCAGCTTTCGTCAAAAAAAGGAAAAAACACAGTGCCAGCAGTATTTTAGAAGAACAAAGTAATCGATTGTAATTGTGTCCGTCATGGAGCAAGAGCATAAAATACAGAACATTCAGATTCCTTCCTCCTTAGGGTATGTGGACCTTCTCATCAAGAGTGGGGAACGGTTCCTTGGTGCTCTGAAAGAATGTAAAGACTGTGGCCTGACATCTTCTTGGAATACGTTACAAGCCCATGCCAAATTCACCTGGATGGAGATTCTGTGCATGGTTGTGTGTGCCCTGGCATTGACGGGTCTCCGAAGAGCGACCACCAAATGGATCTTCCAGGTCAGTAACACCACCTTAAGACCCCAATCACCCTGAACCTTTCCTTTGTGTTTCCCAAAGCGCGACAACACTCAACCTGAAGAATCCCATCATTTTTAGTGGTGCCAGTTCAGAGTTGAGTGTTGTGTCGCTTGTGGCTTGAAGCTTCTGAAGGTACATGAGCTACTTTTCGGGCAGAAGCAAGTTTATTGGCCCCATGGACTTGAGAGTCGCAATGAGAGCTCCTGAAAACCATCTTTACCTCCTAGTAACTAGCTTTCCATAGGTTAAAACAAAAACGTTTGAAACTAAAAAAAAAAAAAATGCGCAAAGAAAAAAAAAGCCTAAAAACTCATGTTCAAGTATGAATGGGAGCTACATGTGTACAGTGGACCATGTGCATGAAGCTGAGCTGGAATGTAAGAGGAGGGGAGCAGGTGTAAGTCTTGCATGATGTTGGCCATCACAATAGAAACAGAAGGTCCTTTCAATCTCCTTATTAAAATATGGAGGAGATAGCTAGACACATAAGACTCAGCACATTCTCTCTTTTAGTCCTCCATACTGTATTGAACCACGAAAACAAATCTTGCTGGTTGCCAGGGATGAAAACTTTTCTTCCTTTAGTAGACCCATAACCAATGATAATTGACCATCATGGAGGATTGATATGCGACTGATTGCTTTCAATTACTATACTATTTCTTATCCCCTAATATTGACAAATAATCCTCTTAAAATGCAGCTTTCACGCGATCACTAAATTTAAAGCCACATACCTAATACCTAGCTACAAAGAATACCTAGCTACATGTTCTCAAACAAAATTTAACACATTATATTGCCAAAAGTATTGGGACGCTTGCCTTTACACGCACAGGAACTTTAATGGCATCCCAGTCTTAGTCCGTAGGGTTCAATATTGAGTTAGCCCAGCCTTTGCCGCTATAACAGCTTCAACTCTTCTGGGAAGGCGTCCACAAGATTTAGGAGTGTGTCTATGGGAATGTTTGACCATTCTTCCAGAAGCGCATTTGTGAGGTCAGGTACTGATGTTGGATGAGAAGGCCTGGCTCGCAGTCTCCGCTCTAAAGCATCCCAAAGGTGCTCTATCGGGTTGAGGTCAGGACAGTCAAGTTCCTCCACCCCAAACTCGCTCATCCATGTTTTTGTGGACCTTGCTTTGTGCACTGGTGCACAGTAATGTTGGAACAGGAAGGGGGCCATCCCCAAACTGTTCCCACAAAGTTGGGAGCAATGAAATTGTCCAAAATGTCTTGGTATGCTGATGCCTTAAGAGTTCACGTCACTGGAACTAAGGGGCCAAGCCCAACCCCTGAAAAACAACCCCATACCATAATCCCACCTCCACCAAACTTTACATATGTCACAATGCTGTCAGGCAAGGACATTTCACGGATGGACTTATTGCACAGGTGACAACCTATCACGGTACCCCGCTTGAATTCACTGAGCTCCTGAGAGCGACCCTTTCTTTCACAAATGTTTGTAGAAGCAGTCTGCATGCCTAGGTGCTTGATTTTATACACCTGTGGCCACGTAGGTGATTGGAACACCTGAATCCAATGATTTGGAGGGGTGTCCCTGTCCCCATACTTTTGGCAGTATAGTGTATATAGTGAGCATCACTATGAAAGGTGTATAGAGGTAACTTCTTTTAATTTCACATTCATAAGGTTAAAATGGCCACCCCTCTTATGTCCTGCTATAATAGAGTTACATAGGAAAAAAAAATACACAAGTCCATCAAGTTGAACCTATATAATATAAAAAGCCTGTAATCTATTAATAGACAGGTATTCGGTACAGACGTGTTATTTCCCAATACTTCCTTCTCACCACTTTATGCAGCGTACAGTTCACTTGCAACAACATTTAGGGCTCATGGTGAAAGCCTTTTTTGTTCTGCATTTGAAATGTACGTCAAGTGCAGATCAGCAAAATTCTATTGACTTTAATAGAGAGGTACACCTGGCAGTTTAGAGGCTGCGTCTGATCTGCTTCGTGCTGAGTTTCTTTGGAGTCAGCAGATCCTATTCAGGTGTGTTTGCCTTTGGTGATCATGACTCCTTTGTGCACATTGGCGTTTGGCTACGTGTACATCCTGCTTGCTTTTGGGCACACTTAAGTGATATTAAAGGTTTCTAAGATTTTTTCAAATGTTGATTAAATCACTTACGATGGATGCTGATTCTTGATGTGTAAACGTCTTATTTGCTGCAGAAACAGCTGCTCCTCTGAGCACTGGTCCTGATATCTTGTTTTAGGGTGACTCCTTTCTCTTGCAGGGTCCTATGGAGCCACCCTCGTGTATGTCTCCACAAACACACAGCCAGGGCAAGTCATTCCACTGCTCACTCCTCCCTTCTCCAAGCTAGTAGATGGATCTGCTGCAGACTACATTGTCCCTTGTAATCTTATAGTGAAAAGGAAATTCAGAGAAGCAGAGCTGAGAGAGTTGGAGCCAGATGTTTGGAAGCATGATAACTGTAAGAACATGGACATAAATGTAAAGAAATACTTTGCTGGGCAATGTATATTTGATTTGGATTTATCATTGAACCCTGTTTGAGAGTTTAATATTACTTTAACCTTCATTGTGAATGGAGCTGCAGCAGATGCTACTTCATTTAACTTGTGTTTAAAGAAGAGCTCTGGGAAAATCACAAACTTCCCCTTGCAGTGGGTCTGCCCCCTGCACTGGAAGGGTTAAGTGCTCGTTTTGTCTAGGGCAGGGGTCTCAAACTCAATTTAGTCAGGGGCCACTGGACAAATGTTGTAGTCCCGTGGGGGCCGCTACTATTTACAGTACCAGTTTGAATGTATGCACATGTTACAAGCGGCAACTGTCACCGATTCAAATTAAAGGAGAATTATGAGGCGAGTGATTTTCACCCAGCCTCATAATGTGAGCCGACCTGTGACCTCACACATATTAATACACTCCCTCCCCCCACACAGACATAATACACTTCACCCCCCCTTCCAAGTCCTCCGCACACATTTAATACACTGCCCCCCAGCACATATAATAATACATTTCCCCCCTCCCTCCCAAGCCCCCAGAACACATAATAAACCTCCCCCCTCCCTCCCAAGCCCCCAGAACACATAATAAACCTCCCCCCTCCCTCCCAAGCCCCCAGAACACATAATAAACCTCCCCCCTCCCTCCCAAGCCCCCAGAACACATAATAAACCTCCCCCCTCCCTCCCAAGCCCCCAGAACACATAATAAACCTCCCCCCTCCCTCCCAAGCCCCCAGAACACATAATAAACCTCCCCCCTCCCTCCCAAGCCCCCAGAACACATAATAAACCTCCCCCCTCCCTCCATCTTTGCAGGGAGGAGGCACATCATCGTTCCCTGGTGATCTAGTGGTGATTAGTAAGGTCTAGTGCAGACCTTACTAATCATCCATCATTCAGCCGGGGCTCAGAACTGACAGAGCTCTGGCTGGTGCTGACAGGAGCAGCTCTGCGGTCTGCATCCGACAGAGATGTAGCTGCTCCCGCATGTCAGGCACTACCGTGTGCCCGACTTGCCAGCTGGCTGCGGGCCACAGAGTACTGGTTCGCGGGCCGGTACTTTGAGACCCCTGATCTAGAGTGAGTCCATAACAAAGAAAATATTTCCTGGAAAAACCTTTTAATAGTGACAAATACCAGGAGAAAATGATTGTTTTTTCAGTTTTGCTTAAAAGAAATGCATGATGATTTTGACCGAGGTTACTTCCAAGCATGCAGGCAGAGCTGGGCTTGGCCCGCGGGCCGGCACTTTGAGAACCCTGGTCTAGGGGGTTTAAATAAAGCTGTATTACTCACCTGGTCCCGGGGCAGTTTGTGCTCACCTCTCTCTCCCTCTGCTTCCGCTCTGGAATGTTTCCTGTGGCGTCCTCACATGTCCTGCATTAGTCGTCACAATGTCAGCGGTGCTTAGTCCACCAGAGCCCAGGGGAGAAGAGGCTGCGGGGACTGGTCTAGCAGCCTGGACAGAGCCAGCGGCCTGGGATTCTATCTAAGTATAAACAAAAATGAGTTGACTTAATGATGGCATCATCAAATGTTCTGATAAACGATGTTAAACGAACGTTAGAATGAAATTCTATTGGTGTATGTCCAGCTTGAGTTGCTTCCACTGGTATGTACTGCACATGAGTCAATAAAGGAGGTTATTTATCTGTAAACTGATCCAGGACTAATGTGCCAAAGCACAAAAAACAACACAAACAAGATGCAAATGCAGTCCAGATGTCAGTGTGCGCACACACACACACACACTCGGAGATAAGGAAATAGCAATGTGAGTTTAGCTGGATGTCTGCAGATGCAGAATAGTTGCCCGCAGATGCACTGGCATCCTTCTGTGTCTCCATAGCAACTTGATTTTACTCAGTGGTACCAAGTTGATTTATAGAGAAGTTAGTCTATATAATTTTCTTTTCATAGCTTGTCCTTATTTTCCAATAAAGGGTACAGAATAAGTCCATTCTGAGGATATATACACTATATTGCCAAAAGTATTGGGACACCCCTCCAAATCATTGGATTCAGGTGTTCCAATCACCTACGTGGCCACAGGTGTATAAAATCAAGCACCTAGGCATGCAGACTGCTTCTACAAACATTTGTGAAAGAATGGGTCGCTCTCAGGAGCTCAGTGATTCCAAGCATGGTACCGTGATAGGTTACCACCTGTGCAATAAGTCAATTCCGTGACATTTCTTTGCTACTAAATATTCCACAGTCACCTGTTAGTAGTATTATAAAGCTGGCCCTACACCTTACAACCATCGCACGACTTTCGTTGTGCGATGGTTTTAAGGTAATTAAAATCTCGTACGATCTGCCCATCTTGGACAGGCAGATCGTACTTGCAGTTAAAGCTTTGTCCAGCCAAAACTTTTTTTTTCCCTGGGGGTATATGAAGAAGGGAAAAAATGCAAGTGTTGTATGAAGAAGGGGAAAAAAAAGCAAAACTGTTGGATTGCTACTGCTAT